ACATATAGATTCAGATCTAGATCCGGATTTTATCACTTTTTTTTTGCAAATATGTGTTTGTTTGATTTGTGTTGTAAATATGAGTTTTTGATTCGGTTTTGGTTACAAATCTAAGGTTTTTTTTGTTCGATTTAGCTTACAGATTTGAGTTTTTGATTATTTCCGGGATAGTTTTGTTTTGATGTCATTCTTACTGATTTAGGGTTTTGACTTTTGTTATAAAGTTTTTTAAAAGTTTATAAAATTCTTTCAAGATTTATAAAGTTTTTTTTTAAGGTTTATAAGGGTTCTTCTTCTTTCTTCTTTTTTGTGAAATTCAAATTCATGTTTTTAATAAAAAAAAAAGGAGAAACCTTCTTCTTCCACAAAATTCAATCTCAGATTTTAAGTTTCTTTTTTTTGAAATTCAAATTCATGTTTTTAATATAGTTTTGAGAGAAAGAGATGAGCTTTAGTTAAAAAAAGAGAAACGAGATCTGAGAAAAAATATTTTGAGATCTGGAAAAAATATATTTTAAGATCTGAAAAAATAATGGACAAAAAAAATTAAAATCTGGAAAGAATAAAATTCAAATTAAATGATTCGAAAGNTAATATGAGAATAGTGAAAATGAAGAGTGGCATGCTTGCAAAGATTTTCAAAAAGTAACATAATTGAAAAGTGGTATATCTTAAAATTTCTATTTTTTAAGACATGTCATAGTTTTTTTTTTGAAAATTAATAAAATTAAAACAAGTTAGCTTTTTTAGTAATTTCACTTGCTTTTTAATAATAAAAGGATAAATTAAATATAAATTATTGCATTTACTATTGTTAATTTCTAAATAATTTTCATATAATTATGCTATACAAAAAATTATTAAATTTCAATCGTATTTCTATGCAATTTTTTTTTGTCAACCAAACATTGATTAAAATATGCCACCGTGATTGATAATCCAATTGGGAAGAGGGGAAATTGTTTACAAAAGAAAATTGTACAGCTCTAGGATGGGCCAAGCAGTCCACTTTTAAATTAAAAGAATAAAAAATTAAAGATATAAAAAAATGAGGAAAACGGTTATGCATCTCCCAAAATTTTGTCAAGAGAATTAAAAAAAAAACAGACCACTATTCCGGATTGCGAACAATATCTATCTAGTGAGAAGAGTATGTCTAAAAAAAACATAGCAATCCAGACCTCTCGCAAAAATTTAAACACGTTTTCACGATTAAACCGATTGAACGGGTCGATCTGGTTTAGTTGAACGGATAACGAACACGGCACGCAGTTTAGCTCTTGATAGAAAAACAGCTTGATGTTTCTACCCGACACGCAGTTCGTTATTTTCCACTCCAAAAAGCATGACGTTTCGTGCATCTACCCCTTCATC